GTAAATAGCGGCTCTTCCAACTTATTATATATGGTCGTTCTACACCATTTAGAATGTTAAAATAAACAAACGATGATGGAGAACCCGGGAGTCGAATGGCGGAATGAGTCTGGGCCTAGCCACGACAAAAACTTGGGGGCTTAAAAATCGCGGGAGGGGGATGCACGCAAATCTCTCAATGGGAAAAAAGGGTAGAATCACAGAAAAGGGGAAAGACTGGGCATCTGCGGTCGGACTCGTGCGTGCCATGCATGCCACCACTATGTCAGCCGTCCGTGTCATGTGAGCTTGCCCGGCAGGCTGACCACGTGACCGTTCTTACCTCTCAAAGGTCTCAACATCACACAGCCAGCGAACGAACGTTCGAACGTGAAGCCCGAAAAGAGTGGCCGCAGCTTTGCTTATCAGTCCTCCCATCCGCCGATCATTGGCAACTCTTCTCCCATGATGTTCCCTCAAGCCTCTTTTTCCCCGCACTCCATGCTGACGTCTAGCTCCGGGAAAGGCGAAACAAAAACAGCAACACTTTGACCGACGCGCAGGACTTTCAAGACGAGCCACTCATATACCACAATGGCACAAAAGGAAGGGAATAAGCGGTCCGAGTCAAGAAAATGGGCCACCCTTCTCTTCCTCCAACGTTCTTTCGGAGTTTGAATACAAGCTTCTACTATACTCGGACAAGCGGAAACATATTCAAAACACTAGGCCTCGGTCGCCCGATTTGAAAATGAAGTTGGCCATCTGTCAGCAAAGACTTCGGCACGGTCCCTGAAGTGGAGTATCAGTCACGGGCACGGGTCACTTCGTATAAAGACCACTCGATGTTTCATCATCAATGTTTCATCATTCTCTTCCCCCTCCTACGTTCCTTTCCCACCTTTCTCTTTTCTTGGAGTCTCAACCCGAACCGCTGCTTTCTTACCCTCCAGCCCTCGGCTCGACCTCCTTCCCCAGTCTCCCCTTCGCGCTCAATCGCCGCTCTCCTCTTCGTACACGGCTTACGGCTCCAAGGTCCGAAGATTTTCGACGCATTCGACTGCGGGAACGCTCGATTCTGCTTCTCGACCCCCTCTTGAGAAGGCCTTTGGAAGCTCTTGCTCGCCGGCCCAGCCTCGCCTCGCCTCGCCCAAGATTTGCAGTCTTTGAACTCGCACTTGGGTTCTTTCAGACTGTTTTTTCGAACAATATATGAAATTTGAAGATATCGAGCTGTACCGGGATGTCAACACGCCGGGTGCATTCGAGATGGTCGCATATTAAAAACATCAACGTTCGTCATTGGCCGACTAACCCATCGACATGCGCGCTAACTTCTGTCAACCGTTACTATAGGCGTACAACAATGAAAAAGGAATTACGCCGCTTTCTTTCTTGGATCGTTGAATCCAAACAATCGACGTGGCGGCCCGGGCGTTGCGTGTTCATGAGGCACGAGAGGGAGATGTCCAGCGGGCGAAAGTTAATTTTTCTTGAGACTTTGTCTTTTGCGATGCCGCTCACAAGCTCCTTTTCCTTTTCCTTCAGGAAGCCATGATGCGCCACATATCGCGCTCGCCCGCGGTCCGTGCTCGAGCCGTTCGCATCACCGATGGCAAGCCGTGGAGGGAATCGACTCGGTCAGCTTTATCCACGTCGACTCTGTCAACGAAGACAAGGCTCCGATGGTCATCAATGTCGCGAAACGAGCTCAAGTTCATACTCCGGAAGCGACAACAGAGATCAATGAAGCCATTCAACTGGTGAGCAGCAAGTCTTTATTTTGATGCTGTTTTTTTCCTGTTAACCCTAAGTTGCTTATCGCTTTCCCTTCCCCTTTCTCCCCATCTTTTCTCGCTAGGTCGATCCAGACTACGTCGCCGCGAAAGACGCTTGCTCCGACCCGTGGAACAGGCTCAAGAGCCTCACGGACCTCTACATTACGCCAGATCAAAAAGGATCCAACCTGGCTAAGAGTGGCAAGCCCGGTTACCGCTGGCTGGAAGAGGAGGATGACGAGATTCTTCCTGAGGGCTCTTCCGAGTTGCCGGAAGGCTGGGAACCGTCGCAGCGAGGAAACAAGTCAGTGGGCTCTCGTAGTCTCGCCAGACTTTCTGCTCATTCTACTCCTTTGTCTTTAGGCGTCGGAGGAGTATACGGCTGCCAAGGACCTACTCGGCAAGGTTCGGAAGCAGGTTCAAGAGCACCTCAGTAGAGCCAAGACCAAGGAAGTCAACGCCGAGTACCACCGCAAACTCGAGACCAACATGGTGGACGACATATCCTCTGCCATTGCGACGCTGGACGCCCCGTCGCGAACCATGAAGAAAATCGCAGCGACACGGTCCAGCGACGCGTCCGGTTCAACTACGGCAGATACCTCATTTGCGACCGAAGCCTCGTCATCTACTGCTGGACCATCCAATTCCACCGCCATCGCAACCCGGCAGCCCAACCGCCCCCGACAGCGTCGAAGACGAGGAAGAGCTTTCCCGGGAACTTGAACTTCTCGTTCCGCCAGATCCTGCGATCGAAACCGTTGACGACGTCGACGGAAATCCGTTTGAGGACGAAGATCCGTACGAGGACGAAGACGCTCCCGAAGACTCGGTCGACGCTCCTCCCTCGGACGATCCGGATGAACGGTTTTTCAACGAACAGTCAGGACGACTGAATAACCTCGAAGCGAAGATGCGCCAACTGCTTCGCGAAGGCACGGAGGGACCTCAGCAGAAGAAGTTCGACAAGGACAACCGTTTCAGTGAATCTACCCTGACGTCCTTCGACGAAGAGAGGAAGAAGCAGTTGGAAGAGGAGGGAATAGGCAACATTCCCATGGAGGAGCTTCGGCTCAAGTACCTCACGTTCGTCGCCAAGCTCCTCAAGTCGGACCAGGTAAGTCGGACCTCTTTCCGTCGGACGGCTTTTCCGTTATCGATTTGTGACTCTCTCCCCTACTCCAGTTCTCCGGCTTCACGTGTCCGCGGTGTCGACAGGAGCAAGGTCCTGACGTGGATCTTAAGGTCTACACCCGCACTATGTTCCTCAAGCACTTGTAAGTTGTTTCAAACGATAAAAGACGAGTCTGCGCTGACTTTCATCCGTTGTGGTTCCCCCAGACGCCGCAACCACCAACCGCCGAAACCGCGGCCTGAGCGCGAGGTATTCATGGAGCAAGTGCAGGAGGGAGACAATTATGTCTGTCCAAACGCCTCCAAGCATAATCGGAAGAGCACGACGTACGTTTAATTTTGCAGCATTTCTATGAGAAACTCACGCCAAGTGCTTGAAATTTAGCTCGTTCGATGATTGCTCCGAGCTCTTACGACACATGCGCCGATCCGACACTTCCTCCCCACGTCGCTACTCGGCAAGTCCAAGGAAGTGACCAAGTCCAAGGAAGTAGCCAAGTCCAAGAAAGTGACCAAATCCAAGGACCCCGCCCAGGGAGCGAAGAAGCGAGGTAGACCACGCAACTCTGTCCAGACTTCATCGACGACTGCCGCCTCTTCAACTTCTTCCACGAAACCAGATCCCCGCCCTCGTCGCACTGCGTCTTCGAAAGGTGCCGAATCCACAATCGACATGACGGTGTTGCGTGCTCATGAGGCACGAGAGGGAGATGTCCAGCGGGCGGAAGTTAGTTTTTTTTGAGCCTTTGTCTTTTGCGATGCCACTCACAAGGCCCTTTTCCTTCAGGAAGCCGTGATGCGTCACATATCGCGCTCGCCCTTCGGTTCCACCATGATGGCAGATATCTCATTTTCGACCTCACCCTCGGCATCTGCTGCTCGGCCATCCTCTTCCACCGCCATCACAACCGCCCCCAACGGCGCCCTTGGAGGCTCTTGCAACTGGCTCGCCGGCCCTGCCTCGCCCCACCCCGCCCCGCCTTGCTTCTAAATGAGGTCGCAGTAGAGAGAAGCACGTTCAAGAAAGGCGCGGGGCGAGGCGAGGCGAGGCTGGGCCGCCCAGCGAGTTGCAAGAGCTTGACAGGTCTCTCGTCGGTATCACCGCTCATTCGACATTATGATTGAGAGGCAAACTTTTCACTGACAAGTTTCTATGATATAGAGGCATTGACTCAAAGATTGCTACTTCTTCCTTCTATTTGCTCCCGACTCGGTCAAAGGTTGTCCCGTCTTCCTGTTGCTAGAAGAAAACTTGAACTTCTCGGTTGGTGGTTGTTCCCTTTCTTCGTCGGATTCCAGCTCAGCCTCGTCAACCTCGTCGTTCTCGTCATCCCACTCAACCTCATCATGCTCCCACCTGATGAACCTTCCACAAGCACAATTGCATCCTCCTCTTCGTATCTGTTCAGTGTGTTATTCGTGAGTTTGGTACCTTTCGAAGCCGCAGTTCGACGAGGACGGGGATCTGGTTTCGTGGAAGACGTTGAAGAGGCGGTCGTCGATGATGTCTGGACAGCTGATTTACGTGGTCGGCCTTGCCTCTTCACTCCCTGGGGCGGCCCGTATTTGGTCACTTGCTTGGACTTGCCGAGTGGCGACGTGGGGAGGAAGGGCCGACAAGTGTTGGAGTGGTGTATGTATGTATCGTAACAACTTAGGGTAGTCATCGAACGCGCTTAAATTCAAGCACTTGGCGTAAATTTCTCGTAGAAAGACTGGACAATTCAACGTACGTCGTGTGCTTCGACTGATGTTTGGAGGCGTTCCGTGTTTGTCTCCCACCTGCACTTGCTCCGGTTTCGGTTCTTGGTTACTGCGTCCGGGGAGCCACAACGGATGAAAGTCAGCGCAGACTTGTATTTCATCGTCTAAAACGACCTAAAAGTGCTCGAGGAACATACTTAGTGCGGCTGCAGACCTTAAGATCCACGAGAATCTCTGCGACAGTGGTCTGATTGATATAATATAACAGAATGGTTGTTGTGGAGAATCAAAGGAGTCGAACCCGTTCCTAGGTCGCGCGACCCTAAGCCGGAGTAAATAAAAGCCTTTCGACCTAGTATGGTCTTTCGATACTCTTGGTAAGAGTTAAAAGGAGCAAAAGGATCATGGAGAACCAGGGAGTCGAACCCGGCGCCTCTCCCAACTGCTTACGTAAGCTGGTTACGTGATGCTAAGGGAGCGCTCTACCGATGAGCTAGATCCCCAACTTGCTGTTTGTACAGAGCTTTTAAATATGATCCGTAACTGTAAGAATCCCAAATATACGTGACCCTCTCCCCCCCATGCAAGTTCAGCCCTGATACTGGCAGGCTCCACTTCGTTGCTGATAGAACAGCGGTGGGTGCCCGCAGTCTTCGCAGCGTACTGCGACCACCCATGACTAACTTTGAGAAGATGTTCGAGTCTTGGGAGTATACCACGCCAATGTTGGACAAATTTCATTGCCCGTGTAAAGCGATAGAGCTCGGAAGCCAGGTGAGCTGACTGTATCTGTAGTACCTAAAAAGATGGTGTCGAACCGAAGGTTTTTGTGTTGAGTGACATTCCTGCGTATCTCAGCTTGCGATAGAGTGTATCATCAAGGAGCACGATAATGCACTCTCTTTTCCACTTGTGTGATCGTGCGGGGGTCATTATGCTACGGACTCGACGCCCCATTCTCGACGAGCGCACGATACCACAAAAGAAATTTCGTACGAATTCATTTTTCCAGCATGTGTCTAACGGCTCGACTTGTCGCAACAGACTTGCCAACGGAGCACAGTTATAACGCAGGATATAGATTGGTCAAGAAACACCAAGGAACGAAAGAGTGTGCGGTGTTGTGAATCCAACAGAGAAATAAGGAACACGATTGACGAGACAGGAAAGAAACGAACGAAGGTGAATACCGGAGCCAAGAATGGATCTATACAACGTAACAAGGGGAAAAAGTGGTTATGACGAAAGGGTGGAGGTATCCAATTAATGTCAATACTGGGTGCTGGATAGTATATTCCCATCGGGCTTTTTGCAAGTCATGGTGTCGCAGACGCTCCGATAATCATTGGGACACGGTTAATGCTCTGCATCAACCACGTAGAGCACTTGCTGCGGACGAACGAAAAGACCGCGAACTTCCGCCGACATCGAGGTATCGGACATGGCAGGAGAGACGCTTCTGACCCTCGTCAAGCGCTCTCGTTCCAGAGATAAAGCATCCCCTTCCCGCTTTTTCGACAGACCTCGAGTCGGGGCCTCAGAAAGCAACATGTCGATGCGCCTTCTTCTGGCCGCCCGTTGCTCACCGTCATCCCAACCTGCAGTGTTCGAGCTGATCTCGAAATATCGCGTGCCATTGACAGTGCCGTCGTTCCAGCTTCTGCCGGCGAGCTTCTTCTCCGTCCAGCTTTCGCCAACCGGAACCTCTACCCCAATCCAAGGCCCCGTCTCCCCCTCCACTTCGCCAATATAGCGAGCGAATGCTCGGAAACGAGCACGCTTTGAGGTGATGATGCACGGGATGCCGACACCGAGAGTGATACCTCTGCGGTGCCGTTGGGGCTGAGCACCTGGACGCTTGTTGGCCCGAACGGTACCATTTGTCGTCAGGCTGCCAACCGACTCTCGAATCGTCTCGGAAGAGTTGCGTCTGTGAGATTCAGTAGGAGTGGCAACGTCGTTGGATCCTCGAACAGTTGAACCGCCGTCGCTTCGAGGTTTGGCGACCGAGGTGCGACGTGAGGCCAGGTCCTCTTCATAACCCTCAGGATAAGTAAAGGAACGCCTATCAGGCGTATCTCTTCCTTTACCCTTGACATCGCCTGAAGGGAACGCCTGGCTGCTGCGACGAGGAGAAACGTCTCCGACCGAAGCGGCGTAGCTGGGCGGAGGTGGACCTGGCGGGAGCTGGAGAGCCAAAGCATCATCTGTGAGCGTAGGGGTAGCCGGCTGCACGACGTTCTCGATGCCAGTCTTGTTGGGGAGATCATCGTCCTCTTCCTCATCCTCCGGATCTTTGGGGGGGACAGGGGGAGGTGCTTCGGAATCGGCTTTGCTGACCGGGCGGCGTGCAGTCGAAACACTGGAAGCAGTTGATCTCATGGAAGCATTCGAGGGTCGAGGCTTCACGGTTGATTTGGCGGGTGATGCGGTCGAAATCCTAGAGCCCGAAGGCGTCCGATTGACTCCCTTGGGCAGGTCAACGTTGGGTAGTGGAGGGCGCTGCGAAGGTGGTGTTGGAAGCTTCCTCGAGGGCGCCTTTGTTCCCGTCTTCGACGGTGTGCGATTGGATACAGTGGACGTCGCAGAAGCAGTGGAGCCTCGTCTGGCACGAAGAGGTTGCGGAGAACTAGGAGCAGATTTCTCTCCAGATGCTTTTCGGTTTCTCCTTGCTGTCGTATTGCTCTTAGCGGAGACAGCAGAACTGTTAGACGCTGTCGAGAGCGTTCGTTGTCTTGGTGGTCGCTCAGGCTGAGGCGACAGCGATTGGCGCGCCACGGACGATCGCGCTGATGGCGTAGGAGTGGCCTCGGACTTGGCGGTTCGGAAGCTGGTAGAGGCAGACGACGTTGGGCGTGATGCCTGACCCGATGGTACGTTCAAAGCCGCATTGGCTCTACGAATGGTTGACGTAGTTGATCGAACCGACGTGACCGACGGCGCAAGCGACTTTGGTCTTCCTGCGGGTGAAGAGGTCGACGGTTCCACTTGTGGCAAGGGGCTCTTGGGGCTCCTCGGCGTCCCGGGGGGAGTTGATCGGGTGTATGAGGTCATTGAGGCTGAATCGGACTGATCCCTCTCTGGCTCTGGAGCAGGGGGTACAACGACTGGCTCACTGCGAGGTAGGTTGAATTGTGACGCATTAGAAGGTTGAGAGACAGTGGACTGGACACGCGAAGACAGAATGGGCTTAAGTCGTGCCGCGGGTTGGTTGCGAGAAGTAGCGGACGGAGCGGGCGGAGGAGCGGAATTTCCAGCAGAACGTCGGGGACCGGGCCGATTAGCGGTTGCAGTGGAATTTACAGAGCCTCGAGAGATAGAATGAACCGATGGAGTGGGTTCCTTGCCGATGCGGCTTTTTGATCCACTATGGAAGGACGAGATACTTGCGGAATCGGAGTCCCCGTAGATCTTGTGCGGACCTGTGGTGACCAAACCGGAGCGAGATGGGCTTGGGCCTGAGCCAGACGCGGGACGAGGCGCTAGCAGAGCTTCGACAGGGACATCGATTTCTACCAACCCACGATCGTTTGGTCAGACATGAGTGGTTTGATAAAGGCGATCGTGATTACTCACCGTCGCTGATCTCCTTCACTGCCCATCCGTCTATCTCCTCAAATCCACCAGCGGCATGAACATATTGCCAACGATTCTTTCTGCCAATCCACCGGGCAATCTCCAATCGGGCCCGCTCGACGGATGCCCTTACAACGGAGGTCATTGGAAGGACGGTGTGCCCAGTATTGGGGTCTGCACGAAGAAGAATTGCGGATACTACGGTCTGAGAAAGTAGTAGGGGTTCAGTAACTGGCCACAGAGAAAATAATAAATAAAACGTACCTGATAGACCATTCCTGCATTCTTGTCGTTAAGTCCACGAATCAAAGAGTCCATAATCCATCCCACTTTCTCGTTGTCTGAGAACTGAGCCCCATCCCGCTCCAAAATGGACAGCCATTCCTCCTGCTCAAAGACTTCTTCCGCATTTGTGCACATAGTATCATCGATCCTCTTGCGAACAGTATGCACCATCTCGCGAACTTCCTCCGCCCAAGCCTCCGAGTTATTCTCGAGTTTGGTCAAAGCAGCCTGAGCAGCAAAGAGTAGTGGAATGACGTTCATCGCGTTCGTTCTGAGGCTGACGCCTTTTACCAAGTTCGACCGTGTCTTGGGAGCAAGACTGGCAAAGTCCGCTTGACACCAGCCCTCACCAAACATCCCCGAAAGCGCTCGCTGGGCCCCGCGGGTCAGGATCGGGTCGTTGACATCAGGTGCCATCGCGAATTCAAGCACGCGAGGTGCCCGTCGCTGGCACTGCTTGCACTTGCATCCTCCGACACCCCATCGACCGGCAGTTATCTTCTCATACTGGTCGAAGGGCAGGAAGGCATGGAAAAGCCCATGCGACATCTCTTCGACAATCCGTGCTTGAATCTCTCGTTGAAGAGAATCCAATTGAAGGTACAAGGCTGCTCGGTAGATGTGGAAGGCTGTGGTCAAGTCGAATGTTCGGTGGGAGAAGGAAAGGGTACCGGTGTAGATGAATCCGAGGGTGAAATGGACGGAGGCGGGGGTGAATGGCGGGGAGGGGAGCTTGATTTCATTTTCGTCCGAGGATGGTAAAGCGAAGCTGCTGGACTGCAGCCGGTCTCGAAAGTATTGCGATCGAGAGACCAGAATGAACCGATGGCTGGAGAACGCGGCCATTGAGACGTCGTTGGGCGAATAGGATTCCCTCCCGGAAGGGAAGTTCCCCTCTAATACGACGCGAATGTCCGAGTACAGCCTCGATCTCCACATGTATATCAGGTCGTTGCGCAACTTGTCCACACGCGCTCCTTCGTCGTCGTCGGCACGCTTGTCCACAGAGTCGAAAAGGAACTCGAAAGCGTCACTGAGCCCTTTACCCGTGTATAGGTATTCAAGTTCATTCGTAAACAGAGCGGGTGCAATGTTTGTAGATATTCGAAGCACCTGACCGGTGGTGCTGGAAGGCGCAGGAGACATGACGCGCCGGGTCGCAAACGGTGAGGGGGATCGTGAGCCCGGCGTCATATCTTCGATCGGGAGAGAGAGGGAATAGTTGGATTGCGCATTTGGTATGGGTGATGCGCCGTACGGGTTTGGTGTCGGTGCTGGCCGGAATTTGAAGTAGCGAGCTTGAAAGGATGGAGGCGCTCGGGCGTACACGATAGCTAAAAACCGCCTGTCAGCATGCAAGTTGAGCTACTAAAACGGTCGTCCTGACCCTTGTGTCCCCAAACTTCATCAGAGTCGTCATCATCCCCGAGCTCCCAAACGACGTCCGCAAATCGCTCCTTTGCCTTTTCGAACAGCTCCTGCAAATGATTCCTCCATTCCCTTGTCGAAGAGTCTAGCGCAGAAGCGAGAGTGGAAGACGCCGGTGGGGGTGGTGGATGTTGCTGGGAGGGAGTAGCCTGAGGCTGAGGGGGAGCTACCATCGTGGGCAGCGGTTCAAGTTGAAAGACGTGACCTCCAGCGC